CTTTACTTTAAAATGATTAAAAACAACAATATTACTTTCATTTAACTGGATTTCCTTTTCTCTGACATTATCAAGATATTCTGGATGCATACTTGTCCTCTAAGAATAGATCTTTCTTTTAGAGCTGAGGAATAATCAGAAATTTGTTGGTTTGAGGCAGTTGGTACTCATTTAACATTTATTGAGTGACTTCTTTTCAGGTTTCTAAATACTAGACAAGTAGGTCTGAACAAAAATAAGTCTTCTTCCTTGGATCTTACAGTAGAAGAGACAGAATAAAGGGCTAAGTGTAAAATATGTCAAGTGATGATAAGGGCTATGAATAAAACCAAGTATAAGGAGACATTGCAGGGGAGGAAGCTGTTTTAAAAGTAATCAAAGAGTCCCTTACTGAGAAAACGATGTTTGAGCAGAACTTCGAATGAAGTGCAAAAACAAGGCAAGTGCTTATCTCGGAGAGGAGGATTTCAGATCAAGGAAATACCAACTGTGAAAGAAATGTGTTCAAATTCATGATACATTAGTTCTCAATTGCTGCTGTAATAAATTACCACCAACTTAATGGCATAAGCAATATGAATAAATTCTAGAGGTGAAACGTTATAAAATAAAGGTATAGGAAGGGCTGTGTACCTTCTACAAGCCACAGGTGGGAATCTCTGCCTTTCCTAGTTTATAGAAGCAATCTACTATATTCCTTGGTTCCTAGCCTCATAACTTACCTTCAAAGTCAGTAGCAAAGTATCTTTGATTTCAATCTTTGATTGCCTCTTCCTGTTGTAAGAGTCTGTGACAATTTATAATAAGAATATCCAGAGTAATTTACTCAGTTCAAGTTCCTTAATCCTATCTTCAGAGTCCTTTTCAGGGCATGGAAACCTATTCACAGACTCAGGATTAGGGGAGGAATATTTTGAATATGGGGGCATTGTTCTGACTATCTCTAATGGTTTGTACCCTCAATGCTCATTAGAATCACTAGGGAATTATAAACAATCCTGATATGCATTTTGTACTCCAGAACCAACATAATCAAAATTTCTGGGAATTGAGACCCAGGCACCAATATTTTCTAACCACCTCAGATATATCCGATGTCGAACCAATACTGAGAAGCACTAGTTTAGTTTTCTGTCCAGTGTCATATCTTCTACATGCCCGAATTAAACAGGAGATTCTATTTGCACAGTGAGTCTGATACTCTTGAGGAGCCTTTGGCCATTAGCAAAAGACCCCAGGAGTTCTAAGATTATAATCATGTACTAATCACAGTAATATGAATGTACAGAATGCTATAGGAAGAAGTAAAGAAAGAGCGATTTCTTTAAAAAGCAAGTTGTACCTTATAAGGGAGTATATTGCTTATTTATTCCATTCATGTAACTCAACAACCCTAGCACTGTTACAGACTAAAAATGGATTTGATCCATGTTTCTCAATCTGCTTCTTTTCCTAAGTGAGCCTGAACCCTAAATTTATAATGACTTTCTAAAAGTATCTCTGCATCTTTGCTTTTATTGTTACTTCCTACATGAAATTCCCTATTTATTTAAAGATTTCCATTTATCCTTCTTTCCCTTAAGATCTAGCTAATCAGCCATCCTCAGACATTTTCCGCCATTGTTTGGCCTGCATTAAAGTGTTGGTCTGTAATGTAACTTGTCTCTTAGTCTGAACTCTATTTCACTATTATTTAAATCGCCTCAATTTATAAGCTTTTTAAGCCATGATTTTAATGTTTTTATTTTTGTGTGTGTGAGATAAGTATCCTTAACATGACAGGAAAACAATGAATAGTGAATTGTGGTTTTGAAACTTCTCTCATGTCCCCAAATTAGCTATCAGTTCTTTTAAAAAGTTTTCTTGGGCATACATTTAAAACAGCATTATAAAGCAGTGATATAGCATCATGATTTTGTAAGACAGTGTTCCATTAGGTTAAATTTGCCTACATATCAGTTTCTTTGAATTCTGAGTTTTGTCTGTTTACTACAAAAATGACAAAAAAAGGTCTTTAAATTAATACTTGAGTATATACCAGCTCAGATCCTCAAATTGTTTGAAGGTACTAAAGCTAAATGTTGCAACAGAAGCTACAGAAATTGGAATCCTGCTTTTCCCAGTGGAACAATGGTAGGATTTGGTGGGGTAGGAGGCCGAGGGGGACTTTTTCCACTTTCCAAGATGAAACTTTTTGGTAGATAAAGAAAAGTTTATGAATCTCCTGTTATTAAGGGTTTTAACATGATTGTAAAAGTTCTAATACTCATAATAAATATGCATACTAAAACGCTACAACAGATAAATCTTTATATAATTTGTTAGATTATTTTACTTTTAAAAAATTAATAGTCTATTATTTAATATATCCAGGGTATTAGGGCTTTGGAAATGAAATTGAAATAAACATAAAAAATGCACTGTTTTGGATCAGTCATCTTCTAAATCCATAATTCTTTCATGTTTTGTGTTTTAGACCTGTTTGGATCTACAGAGCATTATTTACAGAGAATTGTTCCTTAATTTAGATATTGATATAATCTGAAGTTTTAAGTAGAGTATCATCTGTTTTTTTATCTGTCTTACGTATACTTCTGAGCATTCAAGTTTTTACAAACTTTACTAATAACACTCAGAAATAAAAAAACAGTGAGGGGGGTCATACTTATGAAAGTCTGTATTAATTTAGAAAAACCAGTTTCTCTACCTTTTGCTTGATAACTCGGAGTCTGGTGTTGTAAAGTTTTCAGATACCGAGAAACTGATTACACAGTACAGACCACAGAATGCCAATGTATTAATTCCAGCAAGAATGATAATGCCCACACAAACCACAAATACTAAGTTTTGTTATAACAAAGGCATAATCTCCTTATAGTTAAGTTACAGATGAAACCAACATATAATTAAAACTCTTCATTAATTTACTGTGATAAATCTCTTTACAGATACGCTAAATATTCTAAGTATATTTTGTTCATCCGTTCTTTATATGGGGATGGAAATGTGATCAGAAAAGTGGGGGTTAAATTTCTCTAGTGATTAGAAGTTATTACTTTTAATAATATATGTATTTGGTTGTAGGAACAGCATTGCCAATGAAACTAAAACTATTCTAAGTCCTGTGCCTTACTTACTTCTCCGTATTTTAGGGTATATGCTGAATACACCTTGATAATGGATGGAGAGTATTTAAAAATACTCAACGCGTGATGGCCAACTCTGTCTCTCCTTTAGGCAGTATATCATGGTAGCTGGCAAAATTTCCTCCTTTTTTCCCTGTTCTTAGCTAATCAACACCTCTACTGTTAGCAATTCTTTTTAAACACTTGGTGTAATACATTTGATTAGTTTACAGTTAAGTATAGCTAACCAGGGAGCCTTCTCTAATGGGACACTTTGTATTACATGATGATTTTATAGTTAAACTATTAAAAGGAAGTCTGCTTTTGTTGGCGTTTGTGTGTTGAGGGTGAATGGGACATACTGTAGTTTTAAAACTTGACAAATAAGCAAGAGCTTTTATTTGCAATATTGAGCATCCACTCTATGTTAAGTACTCTGCTGATAATTTTACATATGCCTGAAGAGGTAGATAATATGTCTTTAAAGATGAGTAAATTGAGATATATTTAATCTCACATCTATTAATCTATTGTCTGATCCCATAGACCTTACGTTTTTCTTTCCTCCTTTCATTTCTCAAAGGTTATCTTCAATAGTTGAATACATTTTTCCATTTGAAAATTCTAATACTAATAATAGTTTTATTCAACAATGATTAGAAGTATTTCTTTTGCAAATACATTTTAAATTTAAAAATATGTGCAATATATGAAGTGGTGTGGCAGTTAGTGAATACTTTCTGGCTTGTCATTTTCCTGGTCCAGATTAAGAATGGATGATTCAGTAAACACTTTTTATTTTAACAAAAATAAAAGCTTTATCGATGTCAAATCAAGTAGTGAACTATAAGCTTTTACAAAAAGTTTTATTAAATATTTTAACTCAATTCTTATTTGATAGAAAACTTTTAATGAAAAGGAACTTTCCATTTAACTAAAAATAATTTCTATGTGTTTTTTTTAACTCTGATAACATTTGTGAATCAATCCTGAATATAAAGAAAGGGTTTAATTTTGTTCATTTACTTAAACCACTATTTAATGTAAGCCTTATATTGTTGAAATAAAATATTCTTTGGATTTTTTTCTCTTGTTTCGTTAGTCTATGAAGTAAATAACACTGAATTCATAAGGGCTAGACATTTGGAGTGTTCTGAAAAAAGAATTGAAATGTTTTTATGTTATATCTTTTTAAAGTGCCTTGCAACTTTGGTCTTAGAACTAAATGCCAAATTTCAGTGATTTGAGGAGATAAGGAATGAAGATGCTCAAATGTTTCAAGGTTAACAGTGATTTTAAAATTTATTTAATTTTTAAGCTTAAATACTAAACTTTCTGTCAGTTGCTCTGAGGTTTGCTCCTAACCAATATTTCTACGTTTCACAATAATCTTATTTTTAATGAAATGCAAATTTGTTATAATGGCCATCACTTACTGATTTAATATATTTTTGATGAAAGAAATTTTAGTTATTTTCTTTCCTTTAAACTGTCAACAGTTTTTGCTATTCATAGATGTTCTGTCTTCAGTAAGGTCTATCAAAGTGTAAAACTAGATGGGTATTTTTTTTCCTTTTAAAATGGAATGCTTTTTCATTATGCAGTATTCTTAGGTGAATTCTCTTGTTTAAGAAGCCAGAATACCAGAGAGTGCTATATTAGTGTATTATTCTCACAACAAACAAGCACTGTTCTGTTGCTACCTGCTTGGCCATTGTTTCTGATTGTGTGTGCTTTGCAGTGGTATTTGGATGGTTTCCTGCTCTCTGCTAGCACAAAAAGGCATTTCTGTTACAATGGCCCCTAACCACACAATGACGGCATTAAGGATTTATGTGGAGGTTTCATTATTTTCTCCTCTTTTGTTCCTTCCAGGATGTCTTCCAAGCGACCAGCCTCTCCGTATGGGGAAGCAGATGGAGAGGTAGCCATGGTGACAAGCAGACAGAAAGTGGAAGAAGAGGAGAGTGACGGGCTCCCAGCCTTTCACCTTCCTTTGCATGTGAGTTTTCCCAACAAGCCTCACTCTGAGGAATTTCAGCCAGTTTCTCTGCTGACGCAAGAGACTTGTGGCCATAGGACTCCCACTTCTCAGCACAACACAATGGTAGGTTTCTCATGGTCGATTGTGTCTACACTCACTGTTCTCACCAGTCTACTCCACTAATAATTTGGCTTTAGACTTTCACTTTATAATTACCATGTACTTAATAGCCATACACAAGGTTCCCTCCTGACATACTGGAATTCTGTAAATCGGTTTCATTAAGGAGTATAAAAATACTATTTGTTTGTTTCTTTCTGCTTTTCAGACACTTACAACTTAATTACAGCAGAAAAAAAAAACCATAAAATACAACAGCAATGTTGACATAACATATATAAAATTAGAATGAAAGTTAAATGTCATAATCCTCCTAACAAAAAGAGTATCCAGAGTTGCAGTGAATGCAGCTTGACCATTTCCACCGCAAAAAGTCAGTGTTTATCCATTTGTTACTTTCTTCTTATTGGGTTCCAGTAATCATATAATATTTAGAATTTATTTCATAGAGACTGGTTTTGTAATAAGACTAATGTCTAATTAATCTAAAAAGACTAAGTCAATCCATACATTCTGTTCTGATAGTTCAGTAATTCTGTGTTGCACCCTATTCTCGAATATATTCTTCAAAATAATTCCTTGGTCCTTTACCCTGGAGTCTGGGTCACTACAGAAGATCAGGAATCTTACGCTTCAAAGTCAAGAGGACAAAAGGCAGCATAACATCTTTGTCTGAAAATGAAACACTATGCACAAACACACCTAAGAGCTATGGATCCCTCTGTGCAACGAAGAAACGCTGAATCATTGTGTTAGGAAAGCGACAAAGTGGTTAGCCGCCAGTCATGCCACCCGTGCTGCTTCTCATGGCTGCTTGAGTCAGAGGTCCTCATTTTCCTACTTCCCAAGCACTAGTGCTGTTAATTTACACCAACAAGGATATTTTGTCATAGTTCGCATAGCTTTAAAGACAACACTAATTCCATGAAACCTTTTTTTCTCTAGGAAATTATTATATATGATAAATGCACTTAGGAGTGAAAATGTCCACTTGTTCATGTTATTGATTAAACCAAAGATAAGTAAATCAACAAGAAGAATCATGTATTCCAGTAACTTCAGATAGACGTGATACTTTTTATCTCACATACTAGATTTAAATATTCCCATTTGATGTTTTAATCCTTGTGATTCAAATTTTCTGAGTCTTTTACTGTGTCAAAATTCTCCACCAAGAATTTTTAGGTAACACATGAGTAGCACAGAAGTGATATTTTAGGCACTCATTAATACAATAGTCCTTAATATTCATAATAATTTGATGAGTGGTTGTTAATTTTTTATATACATTGAAGAAACTGAAGCATGGAAAGACTAAATAAATTGTTCCCCATTACATCTAACAAGTGGGTGAACCAGAGTTTACCCAGATTGTCTGGCTGTGGTGTTTATTATTAACCTTACATATTATTGAATCTTCACAGGACCACAGACATATTTTGTGTTATCTATTACTTGGCAAGTTAAAACATAGTATCCATAATTCCTTCTTCTTCTCTCTACTGACTTAATGCCAGTTAAGTGCCCTTTTATAACATTTTATCTATTTCAGAGGGTGAGCCTAGAAGAAAGACTAAAGTGAGTAGTGACAAGTCAACAGTTTAAGAAGCCAGACTCTTCCTTTGGTACTGAATTCTGTAGTGGCTTTTTCCCTCTCTCAAGAGAGTGCAATGGCGAATTCTTCTTGGATTGGTTTTCCTGTGACAGTACTGTGCACATCTAATCCATATTTGCTTGGTTGAATACAAATAGATATGATTAGAAGATTACCAAAAAGATAAACTGGTGTTAGGTACGCTCAATGACGGATAGGAGAGAAGTACATGGTTTCATAAAAGTGGCATGAAATGGTGCTACAATTAAGCCAGCTCATGTGAGTAAAATCATTTAGGCTTTAAAGGAGAATTTATTGTGACTAAGTAGAAGACATGAACTATCTCCTGTGTACTCAGTCTTTTGTTGGATAGTATAGGAATAGTGCTGAACAAAACAGCAGCCCTTCCCTTGAGTGGCTCCATCTACAACAGAAGTTCTTAATCTGGAAAGAAGATGGAGAATCCTCTGTATGTGTGTATGCCTGAGTAGTGTTAGAGTTTCCACTGAATTCCCTAGTAGACTGGCAACACAACAGGTTGAAATTTACTCTCCTAGAAGTTAATGTAACTTCTATACAAATGATTCATGTTAGTTGTAATGATATCAACACTTAAACTTTTCCTCACTATATGTCTATATATTATTATATCCCTAAATGGTTTCTAAATTTATTTCTACTTCACACGTTTCTCAATTTGAGCTGCTTTTCATCTCTTAAGTAGACAGTTGGAAACTGACTATGTGAACTCAAAATTTCAGTGTTTCTTTCAACTTTTCTTCCAAATTCCACAAGAAACAACTTGGATTGTTTATCTCACTTTGACCCTGTATGTCCTTTCACCTATACAATTTTATCTGAAACTCCTTACCTTAGCAAAATCTTTAAGTATATTAATGTTGGTCTAGGATTTGTTTTCTTCTCTTTCTATATTCTGTTGTAGACACAAAGTTTAGGTAATGTCAAACTTTTTATATATTCTTATGGACATAACAGATGGTCTGTGGAATGACATAGGTTTATTTTTCTTACCTGGAACACTCTTCAAATTTTACCTTTTGGTAAATTGTGTTTGTCTCATAAGACTAAATTCTAGCATTGCTACTTCTTAAGTGCTTTAACTGATTTCCCAAGATAAAATGGTTGTGGCCTTATTCTTCTACTTTTTTTATATCCCTTCTCATAGTCTACATTATAATTTATACATTTACTTATTGGTCTTCAATATTTCTTTTGGAACACACGTGTGTGTGTGTGTGTGTGTGTGTGTGTGTGTGTATGTGTGTGTACTTCTGGGGTCTAGTATGTAACTAGTATGTAATACATACTTAATTTATGGCTAAGTTGATATGAATAGATAAATAGTAGATTTATTTTGGGTATAGTGGAAGATCCTAACTCATAATAATTATTATGAGTTTATTTTTTAGAAATTTTAGAACAAAAAAGTACAGTCTACTGTGTTTTCAGAAAACAAAGTCATGATGTATTCAGATGTGAAACTGATTAAGATGTTTTGCTCATTTATCAAAATTATCAAATATATTTATAGTACTATTATTCAACATAAATACTCTTTCTCTCTTTCCTTTTATATACCAGGCCATTGTCCTATTCACAATAGGTTCTTTTATTTCAGCAAGGAAATACGTTCTCTATTTTTTCCTACTCAGTGTCTTTGAAAACAGAGAATGCTTCATAGTCTTTGTATCAGAGTTCAATTTGAGAATAAAAAGACATGTTTCATTGTCTATTTATGTGTGACATCATATTCCATTCTTAAATGAAGAAGAAAGATTTGGGAGGTGTGTATTTTGTATAGCTCAAATAGTTGAGATGGGGAGTAAAACCACGGAGTGATTCTTACAATGCTGGCTGGAAGTTACAAAGAGGTACTGTCAGTAGAAAACTTAAGTTGAAAAATACTTCCTGAGATAAAATTCCACAGAGTTAATAACTAGTCAAATAGAGATTTTGAGGAATTGGGATCCCTTGTTCAGATTCAGGGGATAGAAGTGCCAAGGTTTGAAAATGAACCAGATAATTCCCCTTTGCTCAAATTGTTTTTATTGTCTCAGCATTTTGGAGAAATAACTAAATACCCAAATAAGAGCAGACAGTTGTAACATGCATCAATGCTTGAGATTGATTTATATTTAGAAAGTTTTACTTAGTGTTCAGAGTGTACAACAGATGAACTGTTGTAAGTATGTCACATACATATGCTTGTGGAATACTGTTAGCTGTCTACTCCACATGTGACTTAGGCACAGATAATCTTTGACGAACACGGATTCTGTTGGTTTCTTAAATGAAGCAATTAATAGCAAAATTTGATTCCCATTTAATCTTCAAATAGTTAGAAGCACCTTGAAAGTCTGACTCTCTTATTGATGTAAAGGCCATGCTGAACTTTATTCCCATTAATGGTTAAATCTTCTCTTTTTCTTTTGTTTTTGTTTTTCTAAAATGTGGATTCTGAGATGGTTGTTCACGACAGAGCTTCAGATACAGGCAAGAATCACTGTCATTTCTGATTCATTTTTAATAATAGCACTAATGAAGGTGGACTTACTAGGAAATACAAAGAACTACCCAGAATATGTCCACATGTCACTTAATGTGAATATGAACACTAGAAGGAACCTGGGTGTGAAGAGAAATGAGGTAGCTCCACCGGAGCAGCTAGAGAACTCTGTGGTAGCCATTTAGATGCTCGTTTTCTGTCTGGTTGCATGCTACCTCTGCTGGTTATATTGTTGTTCCAGTGTCAAATGTGATGTGAAATGAAAGTCTTGACCACCTGTGGTTACTTAATAATCAGTTGCCTGCCCTTTTAAAGCACCTTCTATCTCAGCCAAACTCTTTTGTTTCCTTAAGTCTTTCTTGTACTGAGTGAACAACATAATTTTTATTTTAAAAATTTTGAAGTAGCTCGCTCAAGAGATCGCTGAATTTTATTATACAATAAATATATACACGTGTATATTTATACATTTTACATTGCTTAGGATCTAACCCAGGGCCTTATGCATGCTAGGGCAATTGCTGTATGGTTGAGCTACTCTACTGCCCAGGGACCCCCAACTCATTTTATATGAGGCCTCTGTATCACTGTACCCAGGCAGATCTCTCTGTACCATTGTACCCAGTCAGATCTCACTAAACTCGGGCTCAAATAATCTTCCTTTCTCAGCCTGTGCCAAGCTGTGTATATATATTTTTGTATTTAAAAATCCATTGGACTTGGAAGTATTGTATTATCAGTGTATCATTTATTGTTTATATTGATGACATTTTCCTGGAATTGATGTATGCATGCTAAAGTTAATATGTTTAAATATTACAGGAAACCTAATTATTTTAAAGCATAATATAGTGCAAGTTAGTTTTTCCCTTAAGTCCATCA